TAGGCTGGCACAGCACCTCGTCCGAAAGCTCACCACAGGTAAGGTTTCCATAGGACCTGGAGACCCAAAACACCAGGCTTATGAGAGACTCCCGACCTCCATACTTTCACAATGTTGTATCATTGGTATTTTTTTCCACTAAACATATGTGGCTTCCAGGACTTCCTGTGTGATATCAGAGATGGGAAACCCATGGGTTTGGAGGTCACAGTATTGCAAATGTCCCTCCTCCTTGGTGGAGATGGTCTTTGGCGCAAGAGGCAGCATCTCTCTAGTGGTAAAGGAGAGGAAGGAGGCTGTGACAGGAGGGTTCTTGTTAGAGTGAAAAGAGCTGTGGACTTAGAATGAAGGTTCCCAGGCTGTCTCTTTGGCAATGTTCTTAGTAAGTGTCGGTGAATGAGTAATTTATCCTTCTTGAGTTTCTCTGTGTCCATCGGAAAAGGCAGACAAATTGTCTCTTGCAAGGGTCTGAAGCATCTAAATGTGGGAACACTTGTGACTGCTTTTGAAAATGAGATAAAGCCCCTCGCCATGTGGTGTTGGAGAAGGCACTTCACGTGGGGGTATTTGGTTGTAGGAAGTGCTTCAGACTGGTGCACTCCCCATGGAGAGCATGTCCCTGAATAACACAGCAGAAGCCACATGGAGGGCCTGTGAAGTCTCCTGAGGCATAGAGGACTGTCGGGCAAGTTTGTCCGCTCCAAAGGGAAAGAATTAGGTTCCAAATGCGAACTGTGACACAACACCAAGTCTGTGCCTGGGAATCAGATCTGTGGCGGGATGCAGGAGACAGCTGCCAAAGTCCAGAGAGAGCCTGCACAAGTCCCCAGTGATATGCGGAGCAAAGGGTCTTTTCAATATTTGGTGACATCTTGATGGTGGCCCTCCAGATCAGAAATGCATTGCCTGATGGATCAGGAAAGCATGCCAGGGCATTTTGTTAAAGATAAAACATGAGAGCTTTCAGTTTAACGGTGTCCCATGCCTAGATGTCCACGTCTCTGTGCACATTGGACTGACTGTGCCTGCAGAGTGTGAAGTGGGAAATATCTGAACGAACACTTCTGTATTTACAGAAAATGATGAAGGTGAGGATGAAGATGTTAAAGTTGATGACACTGAGTAAGTACAGGAATCATGTGCCCCAGGTAACACTGAATAATCAGGTGCAAGTAATGGGTTTTAATATGAAAAAGATCTAGGAGGCACACCCTGTCTCTGGCACCTACAATGGGCCACAAGCCTGTATTCCTTGGCCAGTATGAGAAATTCAACCCAGCTTAGACACCGCGTGTGGCAGCTGTTGTGTTTCTCTGTGTGTGGTGAGTGTCATATCTGTACCGAACAGGGATAGCTGAGTCTTCATCTTTCTCTGCTCCTATCTCTCCAGTGAAATGAACACCGGTTGGTCTCTTCCTCTCTGTCTCCCATGGCCGCCATGCTCTGTTGCAGAGAGAAGAGGATGCCTGTTTCCTCCTAAAGGGAACCTCCTGTTTGCTTTCTGTGACCACTGTCTTAATGCTCCCGTCAAAACCTGCTAGGTCTCCCTGGGGTCCAATCCCTCTGTATTTAATCTTCTGGCATCTCTATCTCACCTCATCAGGGAGGTGCGGAAGGCAGAAGAAAAGAAAGTCCCTGAGGACTCAGTGGAGGAATATGCCGTCACTTGTTCAAATAGCTATGGCCCTTCTGAGTCCAATCAGCCTCACAAGAACTGCAAAGTCACATTTGAGGAAGACCAAATGGACTTGACTCTGCTTATAGACCGTGAATCGTCTCCTGATGTACGGCAGGATGCTCTAAACCTTGTCGCAGGTAGCCTCTATTTTCCTTGTGTCTCATACCTCTGTCTAGACTACGGAAGATCCATTGTGAGGACAGGCTATATACGTACATATTGGTTTACTCAGTAACGAGGATGGAACTAGGTGCGGTGACTCACACATATATTCGCAGCACTTTGGGAGGCCCAAGTGGGAGGATCATTTGAATTCAGGAGTTCAAGAGCAGGCTGGAGAATATGGTGAAACCCATCTTTACAATGAATACAAAACATTAGCCAGGCATGTTCCTTTGCCCTTATAGTCCCATCTGCTCAGGAGGCTTAGGTGCGAGGATTGGCTCAGATGATCCTCCCACCCTCATTCACTTTTCTCAGGCTAGACTCTCTCTCCTTTTCATTGGCTTGTCTTAGTTTATATATAAGAAGTCTCTGGCCAGGGTCGCTGGGCTCACATTGTAATCCCAGCACTTTGGGAGGACACGGTGGGCGGATCACCTGAGGTCAGGAGTTCGAAAGCAGCCTGGCCAACATGGCGAAATTGCATCTCTACTAAAAATACAAAAAATAGCTGGCATGGTGGTTGGTGCCTGTAATCCCAGCTACTTGGGAGGCTGACGCATGGAATCACTTGAACCCAGGAGGCAGAGGTTGCAGTGAGCTGAGATCGTGCCACCAGCCTGGGCGACACAGTGAGACTCCCTCTCAAACAAAACATAAAAAACCAAAACCAACAACAGTCAAACAAAAAAATTAACGAAACAAAAAAACAATCTCTTGAGCTACACAGAAACATGGCCACTCATGAGGTAAAAGCTCAGAGCCCAGCCTTGCTTTATAGAAACTCTAAGCAAGAAAAATGTGGAAGTGTTTGTGTCCTGGTTTCAAGGTGACTGCGTAGCTCAGACACGTTGACTTAAAGGAGATCAAGAGTGGAGATGAGAAGAGTGAACCAGGGAAACAGCATCTTCAAATCAGTGGACAGGGCTGTCAGTGACATCCCTCCAATCCTGATTCAACCTATTTGATTTCACCAGTTATTAACCCATCATGTGTTTGGATTTTTTCTCCCCAGTCCCTGGCTCCACCTCTTCTACCACAAACGTCAGCATGGTGGTATCTGCGGGCCCTTGGCCCAGTGAGAAGTCAGAGATGAATACTCTAGAAATCAACGAGAAACTGCGCCCCCAGCGGCAGAGAACAAACGTCAATTCATAAACACCAAAGGAGAAATATCTTGTAACTCAAGTGGCCTACTTTCTGGCCAAAGGGGCAGAACAGTTACAGTAAGTTCCCTAAGCTCACCATCACAAAAGTGATGATGATGTCCTGTGTTCTCTCTGAGAAACGGAATTCTCTCTCCATCAGAAGTAATTTAATCTTCCGTAGTTTAGGAAAATAAAATGGGTATTTTCACCTTTTGTTAAAGTTGGAAGAGAGAGGTACCAAAGCATTTCAAAACTTTCCATGTTTGCAGTCAGGTGGGGATGGGCCTAGAGTAAAATCTCAGTGATGGTTTCAGACAGAGGCACAGTATGACCTGTTTTCTCCAAGAGGGCTAAATCATGTTTTCAAGAATGCTCTCTGTACCATATAAGATCCGGCAGACAAATAACATCTAGTCTGTTGTACTAAATGTCTCGGGCTAGTGAACTTTTATTCGGTTCAAGCTTCTGTTGAGGCCCAATAGGCCAAGCTCTGTTCTAGGGATCCTGAGGGAAATTTGGTGATAGTACACAGTACCCGCTGTGAGGGGCGTCAAGAGGAGTCTGCTCCTAATAGAACCTGTGGTATCTATAACCGACAGCATCAAGAGCAGGGAGTAGGGGCCGTGCAAGGTGGCTCAGTCCTGTAATCCCAGCACTTTGAGAGGCTGAGGCAGCTGGATCATGAGGTCAGGAGTTTGAGACCAGCCTGGGCAACATGGAGAAACCCCATCTCTACTAAAATTACAAAATTAGCGGGGGTGGTGGTGGGCACCTGTAATCCCAGGTACTTGGGAGGCTGAGGCAGGAGAATCCTTTGAACCCGGGGCAGAGGTTGCAGTGAGCCCAGATCACACCATTGCACTCCAGCCTGGGCGACAGGAGAAGACTCCTCAAAGAATAAAACAAAAGGCAGAGAGTACCCTGGTGTGAGGGAAGTGCTACTTCCTGGGCATAGGCTTTTGTTCCTACAGAGGAAGAAAGATCGCACCCAAGAATGTGTGGAAGTAGCAGTGCAGTGTGCAGAGCAGGAACCCTGGGCCTGTCACCTGGGCTCCATCCAAGTTGCTTGTCCTGTCTGTCCCTCAGTTTCTCTTTCTTCGTCTCTAAATTTTGGAGGTTGAGATGCAATAAAGTCGGGAGACTGAAGAGTAAAGTCGTGGAAATCCTTGCCTAGAGCCTTGTACTGGGGTCAGTTATATCCTTCGGATGGACCTGGCTCCTGCCCTGTAGGCAGTGACCACCACTGTGTGTCCAGCTGTTCACTGAGGCCGGTGTGTCTGTCTTTTCTCAGACTATGAAGAGTGCAAAGACCTCCTAAAATCTATGCTGCGGGATGAGCTTCAGTTAAAGGAGGAGAAGCTTGCAGAGCAGCTCGGGCAAGCTGAAGAGCTCAGGTGAGGGGGCCCTATGCAGGCAGATGGGCAGGTGTGTAAATCTCTGATGTACAGCCGCTCGTCTGGGTGAAGTAAGAGCTAAGCTGGGTCTGGGGAAGGGCAGGAGTTGCCATGGCAGGCTTACAACACACAAAGATTTATGAAACAGAGAACAAGGATAATAATAAGTTATGGGTTGCAGTTGTTTCTCAGAGCCTTGATTTCTCTTTTTGAAAGAAGTAATTGTTGAGGTGAGATTTGCATAACACAAAATTAACTGAAGGAGTGGGAACCACCCAGCAGCATTCAGTGTACTCAAAATGGTGCGCCATCACCACCCCACTTACCCTTAGTCAGAATCACCTCCTGACTGACTGCGGCTTCTCATCCTTTCGGTCAATCAGTGTTGCCTTCTGGAGCCTGTCATTCTTTCCTTCTTTCATCTTTTCAACTGGCCCCGTCTGCACGTGGCCTCATTTCTGTCCATGGCTTTGCATCTAGTGACTGCAAGATGCACTATGTGTATTTTCACATGGAAATGTCCATGGCCAGAGTGAGGAACTGAAAGAATGAATGTCTTTTTGAAAGTGAATAAGGAAACCTACTTTTGTTTACAGAAGGGAAAGATAAATTGAACATTGTCGAGGATCTTACAGGAGCACTGTCTGGTATAGAGGAAGCCTGTAAACCATTTTTCATTCTTACTCTTGGCCACAGACATTTCTTTAAACATGTGCTGACCTTCTCCTTGGAGGTCTCCTTGAGAACATTGTCTCAGAAATCTCTGTCGCAATATTCGATCTGATCACTCACCCCTTTCCACTGTTAAATTTTCTCTACTATCTCACCTTAGGCAATATAAAGTCCTGGTTCAGTCTCAGGAACGAGAACTGAGCCAATTAAAGGAGAAGTTGCGGGAAGGGAGAGATGCCTCCCGCGCATTGAATCAGCATCTCCAGGCCCTCCTCACTCCGGATGAGCCGGCCACCTCCCAGGGGCGGGACCTCCGAGAACAGCTGGCCGAGGGCTGTAGGCTGGCACAGCACCTCGTCCGAAAGCTCACCCCAGGTAAGGTTTCCATAGGATCTGATGACAGAAAACCCCAGGCTTAGGAGAGACTCCCGACCTCCATAGTTTGACAATGACAGTTGTATCGGTGGTGTTTTTTTCCACTAAACATATGTGGCCCTTCCAGGACTTCCTGGGTGAGATCAGAGATGGGAAACCCTTGGAGTTGGAGGTCACAGTATTGCAAATGTCCCTCCTTCCTTGGTGGAGATGGTCTTTGGAGCCAGAGGCAGCATCTCTCTAGTTGTAGAGGAGAGGAGGAGGCTGTGACAGGAGGGTTCTTGTTAGAGTGAAAAGAGCTGTGGACTTAGAATGAAGGTTCCCAGGCTGTCTCTTTGGCAATGTTCTTAGTAACTGTCGGTGAGTGAGTGATTTATCTTTCTTGCGTTTCTCTCTCTCCATCAGAAAAGGCAGACATATTGTCTCTTGCAAGGCTCTGAAGCATCTAAATGTGGGAACAGTTTAGGACTGCTTTTGAAAATGAGATAAAGCCCCGTGCCATGTGGTGTTGGAGAAGGCACTTGATGTGGGGGCATTTGGTGGTAGGAAGTGCTTCAGACTGGAGCACTCCCCATGGAGAGCATGTCCCTGAATAACACAGCAGAAGCCACATGGAAGGCCTGTGAAGTCTCCTGATACATAGACGACTGTGGGGCCAGTTTGTCCTCTCTTAAGAGAAATAATTAGGTTTGAAATGTGAACTGTGACAGGACACCAAGCCTGTGCCTGGGAATCAGATTTGTGGTGGGATGATGGAGACAGCTGCCAAAGTCCCGAGAGAGGCTGCACACGTGCCCAGTGATATGGGGAGCAAAGGGTCTTTTCAATATTTGGCCACATCTTGATGGTGGTCCTCCAGATCAGAAATGCATTGCCTGATGGCTCAGGAAACCATGCCAGGGCATTTTGTTAAAGATAAAACATGAGAGCTTTCATTTGAACGGTGACCCATGCCTAGATGTCCATGTCTGTGTGCATATTGGGCTGACTGTGCCTGCAGAATGTGAAGTGGGAAATATCTGAACGAACACTTCTGTATTTACAGAAAACGGTGAAGATGAGGATGAAGATGTGAACGTTGAGGAAACTGAAAAAGTACAGGAATCACGTACCCCCAGGTAACACTGAATAATCAGGAGCAAGTAATGGGTTTTAACATAGGAAAAAGATGTAGGAGGCACACCCTGTCTGGCATCTAGGATGGGTCCAAAGCCTGCATTCCTTTGGCCACAGTATGTGAAATTCAACCCAGCTTAGACACAGGGTGTGGCAGCTGTTGTGTTTCTCTGTGTGTGGTGAGTGTCATATCTGTACTGAACAGGGATAGCTGAGTCTTCATCTTTCTCAGCTCCTGTCTCTCCAGTGAAATGAACACCGGTTGGTCTTTTTCTCTCTGTCTGCCATGGCTGCCATGCTCTGTTGCAGAGAGAAGAGGATTGCCTGTTCCCTCTTAAAGGGAACCTCCTGTTTGCTTTCTGTGACCACAGTCTTAATGCCTTCTGTCAAAACCAGCTAGGGCTCCCTGGGGTCCGATCCCTCTGTGTTTAATCTTCTGACATCTCTCTCCCACCTGGCTCATCAGGGAGGTGCAGAAGGCTGAAGAGAAGGAAGAACCTGCGGACTCACTGGAGGAATATTCCATCGCTTGTTCAAATAGCCACGGTCCTTGTGAGTCCCACCAGCCTCACAGCGACACCAAATCACATTTGAGGAAGACCAAGTCAACTCACGTCTCATTGACTCATCCTCTCATGATGAATGGAGGATGCTGTATCCATTATCCCAGGTAGCCTCTATTTTCCTTGTGTCTCATTCCTCTTTCTGTGCTGAGGAAGTATAACCCCGAAGACAGACTCTATACACACAAATTGGTTTACATAAAAATCTGCGATGGATTCTAAACCCAGATATCAGGGAGGTTTTCTGTCCTTCTCAGCTCATGTCATGCCTTTGTCTCCCGGTCCCCAGTGTGAAGTTACTGGACCCCAGGCAAGTGTGACAACCTCATAGTCACCTGAGTGCAGGAGGTGCATGGGAGGTAACTGTGAGGCTTCCTAGCTTCGATTCAGTATCTCTTGTCACCTGTGATTAAGTCATGTGTCCCTGAACAATGTCCATGGAGTTTCTATGCCTTTTGAAGGAGACTGGCAGCCTTGCCTTTGTTTTTGGATATATTGCTCCCCAGGCTTCACTACTCTCAGCTTTAATCTTGATCTCTTTTAAGTCAGCTTGGTTAGCTGCACAGTCCCATTGAAATGTGGACGGAAACTTTTCTTGTTTAGTTTGCTGATACAGTTCCATAAAGCAAGGCTGGACCCTGGTTCTCCACCCCATCAATGCAATAGCTGATCCGATGTTTCTTTGTAGCATCATAGATTGTTGTTGTTGGTGGCGGTGGTGGTTTTTTTTTTGGTGATAGAGTCTTGCTCACCCAGGGTGGAGTGCAGTGGCACCATCTTGGCTTGATGCAACCTCCGCCTCCCAGATTCAAGTGATTCTCCTGCCTCAGCATCTTGAGTAGCTGGTACCACAGGTACACACAACCACATCTGGCTAATTTTTGTATTTTTCGTAGAGATGGGGTTTCCCCATATTGGCCAGGTTCATCTTGAACTCATGACCTCAAATGATTCACCTGCCTTGGCCTCCCGAATCCCAGATTCTTTTTAAAGCAAGAGTTGTTAGAATGCGTCTATCAGTTGAACATTTAATGTCCATGGTACCTGATGATATAAATCAGTATTGCAGCAACACTCCTAGAAAATTGTTCGACTAATTTTTGGAGATTTTGGGGGGAAAATTTTATTTTCTTTGCATAGACTCAGGCAGGGAATATGGCATTATAGTCTACCCACAGAGGGAAATTTTGGCCTGTGGGACTGGAAAGCAGGGTCATCTACTTCTCACCAGACTTAATCTAGACCACCCTAGAATATTCATGTCAGAACCCATGTTCTTGCCCTGAGAATAGTTGGGTCCTTGTGCTATGACTGGACAGTGATTTGGTCCTATGTGAAGTGTGAATTGCTTAATGTGACCTGCTTCTCTGAATGTATTTACAGAAAATGAAAGTGATCATGAAGAAGAGGAAGAAAAAGGGCCAGTGTCTCCCAGGTAATGCTGTGGAATTGTGAGCTGTGAATTCAGTAGTGACACCTGGAGATTGTAGATTTAGGGAAAATGAGGAAGCGATGAATAGAACGATTTCTTTCATTCACTCAGCTACAAATTGTCCTTATTAACAATGTTGTGCATGATTTGTGGCACTTGTATTGGTTTTAATTTCATAGTCCTCTGAAGATAAGTACTTGCAATCAGTTGAGCCAGGTGAACTAGCCAAACAGGGATATCTTGTTCATCTTTTCAAAAAACCAGCTCCTGGATTCATTGAGTGTTTTTTTTTTTTTTTTTTTTTTTTTTGAGACGGAGTCTCGCTCTGTCACCCAGGCTGGAGTGCAGTGGCCGGATCTCAGCTCACTGCAAGCTCTGCCTCCTGGGTTTACACCATTCTCCTGCCTCAGCCTCCCGAGTAGCTGGAACTACAGGCGCCCGCCACCTCTCCCAGCTAGTTCTTTATGTTTTTTAGTAGAGACCGAGTTTCACCGTGTTAGCCAGGATGGTCTCGATCTCCTGACCTCATGATCTGCCCGTCTCGGCCTCCCAAAGTGCTGGGATTCCAGGCTTGAGCCACCATGCCTGGCCCATTGATTGTTTTGAAGGATTTTTTGTGTCTGTCTCCTTCAGTTCTGCTCTGATCTTAGTTATTTCTTGCCTTGTGCTAGCTTTTGAATTTGTTTGCTCTTGCTTCTCTAGTTGTTTTAATTGTGATTTTAGGGTGTTGATTTTAGATCTTTCCTTTCTCTTGTGGGCATTTAGTGCTAGAAATTTCCCTCTCCATACTGCTTTAAATGTGTCCCAGAGATTCTGGTATGTTGTGTCGTTGATCTCAATGGTTTCAAAGAACATCTTTATTTCTGCCTTCATTTCATTATTTACCCAGTAGTCATTCAGGAGCAGGTTGTTCAGTTTCCATGCAGTTGTTCAGTTTTGAGTGGGTTTCTTAATCCTGAGCTCTAATTTGATTGCACTGTGTTCTGAGAGACAGTTTGTTGTGATTTCTGTTGTTTTACATTTGCTGAGGAGTGCTTGACTTCCAACTATGTGGTCAATTTTGGAATAAGTGTGATGCGATGCTGAGAAGAATATATATTCCGTTGATTTTGGGTGGAGAGTTCTGTAGATGTCTGTTAGGTCTGCTTGGTGCAGAGCTGAGTTTGCGTTCTGGATATCCCTGTTAGCATTCTGTCTCATTGATCTGGGTAATATTGACAGTGGGGTGTTAAAGTGTCCCATTATTGTTGTCTGGGAGTCTAAGTGTCTTTTTAGGTCTTTCAGGAGTTGCTTTATGAATCTAGGTGCTCCTGTATTGGGTGCATATATCTTTAGGATAGTTAGCTCTTCTTGTCGAATCGATCCCTTTACCATTATATAATGGTCTTCTTTGTCTCTTTGGATCTTTGATGGTTTAAAGTCTGTTTTGTCAGAGACTAGGATTGCAACCCCTGCTTTTTTGCTTTCCATTTGCTTGGTAGGTGTTCCTCCATCCCTTCATTTTGAGCCTATGTGTGTCTCTGCACGTGAGATGCATCTCCTGAACACAGCACACTGATGGGTCTTGACTGTTTATCCAATTTTCCAGTCTGTGTCTTTTAATTGGGGCATTTAGCCCATTGACATTGAAGGTGAATATTGTCATGTGTGAATTTGATCCTGTCATTAAGATGTTAGCTGGTTATTTTGCCTGTTAGTTGATGCAGTTTCTTCCTAGCATCGATGGTCTTTACAATTTGACATGTTTTTGCAGTGGCTGGTACTGGTTATTCCTTTCCATGTTTAGTGCTTCCTTAAGGAGCTCTTGTGAGGTAGGCCTGGTGGTGACAAAATCTCTCAGCATTTGATTGTGTGTGAAGGATTTGATTTCTCTTTCACTTATGAAGCTTAGGTTGGGTGGATATGAGATTCCAGGTTGAAAATTCTTTTCTTTAAGAATGTTAAGTATTGGCCCCCACTCTCTTCTGGCTTGTAGAGTTTGTGCAGACAGATGTGCTGTTAATCTGATGGGCTCCCCTTTGTGGGTAACCCGACCTTTCTCTCTGGCTGCCCTTACCATTTTTTCCTTCATTTCCACCTTGGTAAATCTGACAATTATGTGTCTTGGGGTTACTCTTCTGGAGGAGTATCTTTATGGTGTTCTCTGTATTTCCTGAATTTGAATGTTGGCCTGCCTTGCTAGGTTGGGGAAGTTCTCCCAGGTAATATCCTGAAGAGTGTTTTCCAGCTTGGTTCCATTCTCCCCATCACTTTCAGGTACACCAATCAAATGTAGATTTGTTCTTTTCACATAGTCCCATATTGCTTGGCAGCTTTGTTTGTTTCTTTTTACTCTTTTTTCTCTAAACTTTTCTTCTCACTTCATTTCGTTAATTTGATCTTCAATCACTGATACCCTTTCTTCCACTTGATCGAATCAGCTACTGAAGCTTGTGCATGTGTCATGTAGTTCTCATGCCATGGTTTTCAGCTCCATCAGGTCATTTAAGGTCTTCTCTACACTGTTTATTGTAGTTAGCCTTTCATCTAATCTTTTTTCAAGGTTTGTAGCTTCCTTGCGATGTTTTCGCACATCCTCCTTTAACTCGGAGAAGTTTGTTATTACCAACTTTCTGAAGCCTACTTCAGTCATCTCGTCAAAGTCATTCTCTGCCCTTTTTTGTTCCATTGCTGGCGAGGATCTCTGATCCTTGGGAGGAGAAGGGGCGCTGTGGTTTTTAAAAGTTTCAGCTTTTCTGCTCCGGTTTCTCCACCTCTTTGTGGTTTTCTCTCCCTTTGGTCTTTGATGCTGGTGACCTATAGATGGGGTTTTGGAGTGGATGTCCTTTTTGTTGAAGTGGATGCTATTCCTTTCTGTTTGTTAGTTTTCTTGTTAACAGTGAGGTCCCTCAGCTGCAGGTCTGGTGGAGTTTGCTGGAGGTCCACTCCAGACCCTCAAACAGGGATTTCTTGGTGTCGCCTGTTCTCTCCCCTGCGTTTAAATCCTGGGAGAGAATGTACATGTGCTTTCTGCTTATTGTTTGTTAGTATGTTTTCCAGTATTTGTGCAAGAAAAGAAACTGAATAAATAAACATATTATATTAAAATAATGGGAAAATGGGGCCCTTAGCACAGAAGATCTGTGTCTGCACTGCCGCAAGAGCTCTGTTCACTTGAATGCTGCATGGAAAATTCAACGCAATTTATGCAAAGTAGTTGAAATCTTGTGTTAGTCTCTGTGCTGCAAGTCATGAGGGTAGTTTACAGGGAGAGTCGGGGTGCCCTACATTGGCTCATCTGTGGCAAGTGTACTGAGCACGTGCTGCCCACTTTTTTGTCATTCCCCAGGGCAGTCACCCTCTGCCCTGCATTTAGAAGGATACTTTTATTTCTGTTGAAGGAAAACTGGCTTTGGTTTCTGCGACCTCTCCATTCTGCCTCCCATCAGATCATCTGGGAGGTTTTGCTGTCTAATCTCTGTCGGTTAAATCTTCTGTCATCCCTGTCCTGCCTGTGTCATCAGGAATCTGCAGGAGTCTGAAGAGGAGGAAGCTCTCCAGGAATCCTGGGATGAAGGTTATTCGACTCCCTCAATTCCTCCTGACATGTCTGCCTCATACCCGTCTTACAGCAGCACCTTTCACTCATTAGAGGAACAACAAGTGGACTTGGCTCTTGACGTGGGCAGTGAGTACTCCATTGTGAAGGTGATAAAGCTCCAGTTCATGTCCCAAGTAGACCCCGTAATCTTGGGGCTTTCCGCCCCTGGTTGGGCTGAGAGTTGCCATCACTGTGGGTTTAACCTATATATCAATGTAGATTTCAATCACTCTGGAGTTGAGTCTGAAGCACAGACGTGGCGTGGTTCAGTGAGCTTTAATATCTTCTTAGTCTCACGCCATGCCAGTGCCACCCTAGACTGACTGTCAGGACATTGAACTCAAGGCAGGTGTGGCAAACTCACACCAAGCCATGCAGCACATGCCCAGGTGTTGTCTGTCAGATCAGTTCATGTGAATTAAATGTGTCTTGCCAGCTACAAAGTTCCTCATGAGTTTTGTTCCCAAAGCATGTCTGTGCGGTTCTTTACCTGCCCGAGGCCAGTGTCACCCTTGTCTACCTCTGAATCGGAGATGTGACCCAGGTTTCACTGAATTTATCCCCATTTTCTGTGTCTTCTCAGTTGGCTTGTTTTAGCTCATCTGTCCATCGTCTTGCTGGTATGTTTTCTAGATAAATGACTGACTTTTCACCCACAAAAGCCATAATAGCTGATGCTTCTGTGTAGAACCAAGTCTCGTTGTAACAAGAGCTGGAATATTACACCCCTACATGAAATCTCAGTGTCCACAATCTCATAAACTATCAAATCCTGGGTATTTGATGTGAGAAACCTGAATATTGCAGTCTCTCTCCTACGAGGTGTTAGAAGTATTTGCCTAAAATCTATTGGGAAAGTCATTGCTCATTTGTGTACACAAACCTAGGACAGATCACATTGGGAAGATAACATTCCAAAAGAGGGGAATTTTGCCCAAGGCTCATGAAAGGAACCAAGTCAGTTCTCTCAAGACTTGACCTCATGCCTCTGGTTATGTTTCTCTCAAAGTCTTCTGTTCCCACACTGAGAAGACTGATGTCCCTGTGTTAGGATTGGACAGAGGAATGTTTCTGTGTGCAAGGAAGAACTGCTTCATGTAAGAGGCCCCATCTGAATTTATTTGCAGGACATTGGTGTGATGAAGTGAAAAAGGAGGACCAAGAGGCCACAGGTCCCAGGTGAGTCTGAGAAATTGTGGACAGTTCATTTGCTGTTGACACCTAGAGACGCCAAGTGCAAGGAAAACAGTACATGCTGAAAAGAGTGATTTTGCCTTATCAGACAAGTCTGAATTACGCCCACTAATATTGCTTTTGGTTTTCATTACAGTAAATATTTAGGTTTCCATTTCTTCCTACCCTTATCATTTACTAACCTACTGAAGGTTAACCATACCTCAAAAGCTGTATTCTCATGGTGACTGCAGGGAAACTTGAGCACATTTTATGCAAAATTATTGAGCCCACTGTTTTCATGATCACTGTTCGCTGTTCGTCCTGAGGGCACAAATACAAAGTGTCCTTTCACTGCCTCATCAGTGTGTCACCTGGCCGATTCACTGAGCTCTTACTCTGTCTATCTCTGTCTCTTGTGTGTGTGTGTGTGTGTGTGTTTCTTTCTCTTTCATCCTTTTCTACCTGGTCCTGATTGTGCCAACATTAAGGCAATAATCTGTTACCTCATTAATAGAGCTGTCCTTTTTCTTTCCAAACACTTGCTTATGTTACCTATGAAATCTAGCTGGGGCTGTGTGGTTTCTGATTCCCCCTGGCTTATTCTTTACTTTTCCTACTTTTCCAGGCTCAACAGGGAACTGCTGGATGAGAAAGAGCCTGAAGCCTTGCAGGACTCACTGGATAGATTTTATTCAACCCCTTGCGGGTATCTTGAACTGCCTGACTTATGCCAGCCCTACAGAAATGCCTTCTGTTCGTTGGAAGAAGAGCACTTTGGCTTGGCTCTTGACATGGACAGTGAGTTCCTTACTATGAAGGTGATAAGGCTCCACCTGGTCTTCCCGATAGGGGTGATATTCCTGTTCCAACTGGCCCTTCCTGACCCGAGAGATGTCATTGCTGCTGGCAGGACCTATGGACACATATAGGTTGTAATGCAACTGTAGTTTCAGTTGGAAGCCCAGATATGAAATGGGTCAGTGAGCATGGCTCTATTCCTAGTCTCCAGTCATGCCTGTGGCAACCTGAACCCACTCTCAGCACATTGGACCGAGGCAGATGTAAAAAATTCACAGAACTATGATTTGGACTCAACATTTGTAGATTTCCTCCTTTATTCTAATTTCAGTGTCTTGCGACCATGAACGAGTTGGGAATTTGATGAGACAGGGCTGAATACAACAGTTTTCCTCCTAGAAATCATCTGGGGCATTTTCTTTGAATTGATGGGAACAATAAGGCATAACTGTTTGCACAAACTTGGGATAAATGATTTTGGGATAACTGTCTACCAGAATAGGGACATTTGACCCTTGGTTCTGAGATGTAAATCACAGAATCTCTATCATGACCGGCTTTGAGGCCTCCTGCAGTGTATGTCTCACATTATCCTGTTCTCATGCTGAGGAGCCTGTGGTCCCTGTGTGGGGATTAGACAGTGGACTGTTATGGGTGTAGGTGAATTGGCTTATTTTGCCTGTCCCTGTCTGATTTTATTGCAGGAATTACAAAGGAAGAAGAGGAAGAAGACCAAGGCCCACCGTGCCCCAGGTAACTCTGAGCAATTGACAATAGCTAATTCTGTGTTGACACCTGGAGACTCCTGGTTCGGGGAAAACAGAGCGGGCCGACATTATTGATTACATCTTTTCAACCAAGCCTGAATTATTCCTACTAACATTGCTGTTGGTTTTCATTGCATTACATATTTAGGTTCCCATTTCTTCCTCCCCTTATCATTTACTAACCTACTGTAGGTGGACCATACTTCAAAAGCTCTATTCTCATGGTGACTACATGGAAACTTGAGCACATTTGATGGAAAATTATTGATCACAGCCTTTTCATGATCACTGTATGCTGTGTGTCCTGAGGGCACTAACTCAGAGTGTCCTGTTACTCCCTCATCAGTGTGTCACCTGGACAACTCACCAAGCACTCTCTGTTTCTGTCTCTCTCTCTGCCTCTGTTCTCTGTCTGTCTTTCTCTTTCATCCTTTTCCGTTTGGCCCTGTTCTGTCCCAACATGAAGGCAATAATTTGTTACCTCATTCATGGATCTATCATTTTTCTTTCTTGACCACTTCCTTGTGCTACCCATGAAATCTAGTTGGGGCTCTGTTGTGTCTGATGTCTCCTGACTTATTCTTTACTTTTTCTACTTTTCCAGGCTCAGCAGAGAGCTGCTGGAGGTAGTAGAGCCTGAAATCTTGCAGGACTCACTGGATAGATATTATTCGACTCCTTACAGTTATCTTGAGCTTCCCGATTCATGCCATTCCCAGGGAAGCTCCTTTTACTCATTGGAGGAACAACACGTTGGCTTTTCTCTTGGCGTGGATGGTGAGTACCTTTCTCTGAAGCTGATAAGGATCCACTGAGTCTTCCATATAGAGATCATATTCCTGTTCCAAGTGGCCGTTACTGAGCTGAGAGATGTCACTGCTGCAGTGAGGACTTATAGGCACATGTATGTTCAATGAAACTCTAGTTCCACCTGGAAGCCCAGACATGGGATGGGTCAGTGAGCATGGCTCTCTCCCTAGTCTCAGGCCATGCCTGTGGCACTCTGATTCTACTCTCAAGACACTGGACCTGGGCAGATGTGACAAATTCAAGGAACTATGATTTTGACTCAAGGGTTTCCAGATTTCCTTTCTCACTCTAATTTCAGTGTGTAAATTCCTCACAACCATGAACAATCTGAGTATTTGATGAGACAGGTTTGAATATTGCAGTTTCTCTCCTAGAAATCACTTGAGGGCATTTGCTTCAAATTGATTGGAAAAATATGGCATAACAATTTGCACAAACTTGGGACAAATGATATTGGGATAACGATCTACCAGAAAAGGGACATTTTACCCTTAGTTTCTGGGACAAAAACCAAGGACTCTCTATCATGTCCAGCCTTCAGGCCTTCTGAAATATATCTCCACAGTGTCTTATTCTTATGCTGAGGAGCCTTAGGTCCCTGTGTAAGTGGATTGTTATGTGCGTAGGAGAATCAGCTTCATGTGTCTGAATTTATTGCAGAAATTGAAAAGTACCAAGAAGGGGAAGAAGATCAAAACCCACCATGCCCCAGGTAACTTTCAGCAATTGTGGACGCTTAATTCTTTCTTAATACCTGGAGACGACAGATCCAGGGGAAAGCAGTGTGTTTGGTTTCATGTTTTCAACGAAAGCTGAATTACTCCTACTGACATTGCTGTTGGTTTTCATTGCAGTAGAGGTTTAGGTTTCCATTTCTTCCTCCCCTTATCATTGACTAACGTACCATAGGTTGACCATACCCCATAAGCTGTACTCTCATGGTGACTGCATCGAATTTTAATCACATTTTATGGAAAACTATTAAACTCACTCTTCATAATCACTGTTTGCTGTGTGTCATCCGGGCACTAACTCAGAGTGTCCTTTAACTCCCTTATCAGTATGTCATCTGGCCAATTCACTCAGTACGTGCTCTCTCTCTCTGTCTCTCTCTCTGTCTTTCTCTTTCATTGTTTTCTACCTGGCCCTGTTCTATCCCAACATAAAGACAACAATGGTTTACCTCATTAAAAGGATCTATCCTTTTCCTTTTTTAACTACTTCCCTATGTTACCCTTGAAATCTAGTTGGGGCTGTGTGGTGTCTGATTTCCCCTGGCTGCTTCTTTAGTTTCGTCTCCTTTTCCAGGCTCAACGGGGTGCTGATGGAAGCAGGAGAGCCTGAAGTCTTGCAGGACTCACTGAATGGATGTTATTGGACTCCTTCAAGTTACTTTCAACTACCTGACTCATTCCAGCACTACACAAGTGGCTTTTACTCACTTGAGGAACAGCACGTCAGCTTGGCCCTTGACGTGGACAATGGGTTTTTTACTTTGACGATGATAAGGTTCCACCTGGGCTTCCAGATGGGAGTCCTATTCCCACACTAAGCAGCCCTTCCTAAGCTGAGAGATGTCATTGCCGCAGGCAGGACTTACAGGCACATGTAGGTTTGAATGAAACTGTAGTTCCGTTTGGAATCCCAGATATAGGATAGGAAAGTGGGCAGAACTCTATTCCATTCTCAGACCATGCAGTGGCAACCTGTGCTCAGTCTGAAGACACTGGACCCAAGTTAGGTGTGACACGTTCACATAACTCTGCAGCACATGCCGGGAGTGATCTGTGAGATATTCTGATTTGAACCAGGTATCTCTGGGTAGCTACAAAGTTCCTCAGGGATTTCATTTTACGGGCATGTCTCTGAGCTTCTATGCCTGCTCAAGGTCAGTGTCATCTTTGTGTTTAAGTCATCCAAAGGTGTTACCCTGGTTTCAATGAACCTCCCCCCATTCTTTGTATCTTCAGTGTTGGTTTGTTTTAGCTGATCCATCTGTAACACAGGAGGGATCCTTGGCTGAGGATTGTATTTCAGAACCACTGACCGCTCTTGACAATTGTTAACCCACTAGGCTCCTTTGGTTAGAGAAGCCACAGTCCTTCAGCCTCCAATTGCTATCAATACTTAGGAAGACCACAGCTAGATGGACAAACAGCGTGGAGAGCCCTTAGCCTGGCTCCTCTCAATTCCATCCTGTAAAGAACAGGAGCCAGGAGCCGCTGGCAGGAGACAGCATGTCACCCGGGACTCTGCCGGTGCAGAATATGAACAATGCCATGTTCTTGCAGAAAACGCTTAGCCTGAGTTTCATAGGAGGTAATCACCGGACAACTGCAGAATGTAGAACACTGAGCAGGACGACTGGCCTGTCTCCTTCACACAGTCCATGTCACCACGAATCTCACAACAAAAAGGAGAAGAGATATTTTGGGTTCAAAGAAAGTAAAAAGGGACTGTAGCTACATTTCTTTATTTTGAACCCCAAATATTTCCTCATCTTTTTGTTGTTGTCATTGATTGTGGTGACATGGACTCGTTTGTAGAGGACAGGTCAGCTGTCTGGCTCAATGATCTACATTCTGAAGTTGTCTGAAAATGTCTTCATGATTCAATTCAGCCTAAACGTTTTGCCAGGAACACTGCAGAGTCAATACTGTGACTTTCCAACCTCAGCCTGTCTATCTGCGGGCATAGAAGGTCTAGTTTGTCCATCACCATTATCATGATATCAGGACTGGTTACTTGGTTAAGGAGGGGTCTAGGAGATCTGTTGCTTTTAGAGACACCTTACTTATAATGAAGTATTTGGGGAAGTGGTTTTTAAAGGTATGAACGTCATGTATTCCAATCATCATCCTCTAAACACTTCATCGTTTATTAATCATCCCTGCCTGTGTCTATTATTATATCCATATCTCTACACTGGAAATTTTCTGTCTCAATTTTTACTCTGCCTCTGTTTTGGCTAGTGTCTGCTGTTGAAAAAAAAAAACCATTCTCTGCCTGAGTTTTAATTTTTGTCCAAAGTTATTTTACCCTATACAATTAAAAACTTTTGCCTATCGCTCTGGACTGTTGGATTGTTTTTTACATTCAGTGTTAGAATCTTTTATTATGCTGATTGGTTTTGGTGGGTTCTGATACAAATTAATAAAAAAATTTTCATTTCCCTGTTTATTTTCTAATCTCTTCCACATTGTAGACTATGTTTATCATATGTAGCAGAATATATTTACTACATTTCTTGATTCTAATTATTTTATTCTTTGTGAGTGAGTGTGTGTGTGTGTGTCTGTGTGTCTGTGTGTGCCTTTGGCATTTAGGAAGGGTTGCATAGCTCCTGTTTAATATTGCACTAAAAATGTTTTTGATAGTTTTCCCCCCTTTGAACTAGACACACTTCTAATATTTGTTTTATATGTTTTAAATTATGACTTTCAACCTCAAAGATTTCCATAAGACAGCAAATTACATATGCGTTATCTTTTTTCTACCTCCCTTACCTGCCACTTCTCTTTTTTTTTTTCTTTGTATTTTTTAGTAGAGACAGGGTTTCACCGTGTTAGCCAGGATGGTCTCGATCTCCTGACCTTGTAATCAGCCCGCCTCAGCCACCCAAAGTGCTGGGATTACAGGTGTGAGCCACCGCGCCCGGCCTGCCACTTCTCATAATAGTATTTGAACCTAAACATACACCAGTGACATTCTGTGATTGTCATCTTGGCCCCACCTTGGTTTTTGGTTAGATCCACAATTAAATATATTAATGCTCATGAGCTATTCAAAAGTGAATGTCACAGTCATCACTTGCTGAGTGGTACTCATCCTTAACAGAGTCCTCCTGAGGGAATCAGGTCTCGCTGAGCTTAGCATGTTTAATAATCTTTTCTCATGGTCTTGCATGGATCGCATGACTGGATATAAGGTACTCGCCCAAAATGATTTTTCTTGAGTTTTTAGGAGATACTGTCTTCCCTGGGGGACATACACGGTGTATGTTCTCATTGTGGGATTCAATTTTGTTCTACCAGGACCTCTAATTTCTGCCAGTTACTTCGTTCATGTGTTCTCTTCACCACGAGTCTCCAGAGGATGCTTCCTCTGTTCCTGCCTCCCCATCTCCCAGCAATTCTGCGTTTCCAAGATTGGCACCTCTGGTCCTCTGCACGGTGAAGCCCCTTCCTTTCAATTCCCCAGTAGCCAGTGCTCTAATCCACCAGGTCTCAGGCATGATCTGTTTCTCCACACGCTCTTTCTGAGGGTAGTTTTACCTGTGTTCTGTCATGAACAGGCCCGCCCTGCTGTTCTGGCCTCGATTTGCATAGTGTCTCCTGCTCCCTCTGCAGTTGTGTGGCTCTCAGACCCAGCTAAAGACAATCTCCTGAGGGCCACAGTGTTCCCTAGCCCAGGTGTTTAGGGCCAGGGTTACAGGTGGGAGTTTTGACTCTCTAACCTCTAGGGCTTTGAAGTGTCCGTTGAGAAATTCAGCGGTCATCATCCTAGGTGGACTTGCTCTCTCCTATCCTCCTACTTCTGCTATGCTTTTCTAGTATTATAGTTTATATTTAGTTGCATAATCCATTTTGAGTTAGTTTTTGAGTGAGTATTGAGGTTCAGGTGAATTTTTTTCCTTTGGGGATATGCATGTCCAGTTGTTTCTACAAAATTTGTTGACAAGGGAGCGCCTTCTCCACTGACTCATATCTGGAGGTTTGTCAATCCATTGGCTGGTTGAGACTGGTGAGAGGACTGTCCTGGTGTTTGGACAGAGAGACAGGGCATGAAGTCGGGTGGTTCTTAAGGGAAATATTAAGGAAGGCCCATTGTTGTATGAGGCATAGGAAAGCCCCAAGCACAACTGGGGTGCCATCTACCAGCATGTTGCAGCACACTCATCTCTGCTCTCTCCACCTCTCCTGTTGCAAAAGCTTGGGTGTGCATAGACACTGGGGTCGAATGGTGTCTTTGGGCACTTTTGAGCATTGACAGCGAAGCTCCAGCATCAAATCTTAGAATATCAAGCAGCGGGTGGATCGCCTGAGGTTAGGGGTTCACAACCAGCCTGACTAGCATGGTGAAACCCCGTCTCTACTAAATCCAAAACAAATTAGCCAGGCATGGCGGCGCATGCCTGTAATGTGAGCTACTGGGGAGGCTGAGACAGGAGAATCGCTTGTGTACCTGGGAGGCGGAGGTTGCAATGAGCTGAGATCACACAATTGCACTCCAGCCTGGGCAGGAGAGCAAAACTCCATCCCCCAAAAAATAAAGAAATAAAAATAAAAGAATATCAAGCAGCCAAAGAAGCAGGAAAACATGACACATAATGAAGAATCTAATGATCTAGTTGAAATTGAGACACATGTTGGAAATAGAAGAAAAGGACATTAAAAACAGTATAATTTTATTTTAATTAAGTGGAGAGGTTGAAGATTTTTTAAATATCAAATTCTCTAGATAAAAACTATGATTTACAGTCTGAAATGGAGGAAGGCACTGGATTAAACATTGCGGAAGGGAAGGTTATTGAACTAGAAGGAATAGAAGTTGAAACTAACATAAATGAAACACACAGTCACAAATGACTTGAAAACATAAAAAGACCATCAGTATAAAAACTTTAAACACCCTCTAGAGGGATAATGGAATCCCTGAAGGGCGTGTAGTGGAGAAGAGAGACAAAGATATTTAAAACATTGGATGGAAGATTTAGAAGCTCCATGGAAAGCATAAACTTCCAATATTACAGAAATACAAATATTCTAAGAACAAGAAACATGAAGAAAAGTTCACCAAGGAACACCTGAATCAAATCCATCAAAACCAGTGATCAAAAGGAAATCCTAAAAGTAATCAAAGGTGAAAGAACATGTTCCATACAGAGCACTGCCTAGAAGGATGGCATAAGATTTCTCATAGGAAACTTGACAAACAAGAAGTTTGCAATAAAGCACTTAGAGAAACTGTGGCCTACAATTCTACACCTGGTCAAATGATCTTTCAAATATAAACATGAGATAAAATATTTTTGAATAGAAAACAAAACGATCTCAATTTGCAGATGGTGTGATCCTATGGATAGAAAATCCCGGGCGCGGTGGCTCAAGCCTGTAATCCCAGCACTTTGGGAGGCCGAGACGGGCGGATCACGAGGTCAGGAGATCGAGACCATCCTGGGTAACACAGTGAAACCCCGTCTCTACTAAAAAAAAAATACAAAAACTTAACCGGGCGAGGTGGCAGGCGCCTGTAGTCCCAGCTACTCGGAAGGCTGAGGCAGGAGAATGGCGTGAACCCGGGAGGCGCAGCTTGCAGTGAGCTGAGATCCGGCCACTGCACTCCAGCCTGGGTGACAGAGGGAGACTCCGTCTCAAAAAAAAAAAAAAAAAAAAAAGAAAATCCCAAATAATAATTACAAAGGCAAACACACATACATGCTCACAGACACCACACACACACACACACACACACACACACACACACACAGAGTTAATAAGTGAATTTAGCAAACATTCAGCAAACAATCCATTGTGTTAGCAATGAACAATCTGAGAAGAAAATTGACACAATGATTTCATTTATATTAGCATCTATAAGAATAATACACCTGGGAATAAGTTTGTTCAAGAAGCTGCAGTAATTGTACACAGACAACTCCTGAACATTGCTCAAGGTCACGTGGTCCTGCACCCATGGGCAAAGTGATGGTCTGGGCTCAAAACGCAGCCCCGCCCGTCCACACCAACCCATGAAATTGGTAGGAAACCTGACAGCCAAGTGGCGGATTGGCTTTTTTTCTCACTCTTCTTTTTCCTGGTGACCTTCCGTCACCAGGAAGCCGGCTTCTTGGGAAGAAAAGCAAAGTAAGGGAGGAGATTCCCAAACAACCTCCCTCCTTGGGGTCCAGGCAGCGTAGGTCTAGGTCCCCCTAATAACGGAGGTCTCCCCTGAGTGAGCGATGTGAGCACATGAGCAGACCTGCTGGCAAAAGGGGACCAGCCTGGAATACCAGCACTTCGGGAGGCTGAGGCAGGAGGATCACTTGGGCACAGGAATTTGAGACCAGCCTGGGCAACATAGAGACTTTTTTGTAGAGACCCAGTCTCTACAAAAAAATTAAAAAATAAAAAAAATTAGCTGGACTTGGTTGAGCCTGGGAGGTCGAGGCTGCAGTGAGCCATGATCCTGCCACTGCACTCCAGCCTGGGTGACGGAGGAAACCAAAATGAAAATCAAAAACAAGGACAGAAGATGCAGAGAAGATCCAGCACCATGCTAACCTCAGAGGAGGCGGCACGGGTTGGTGACCATCCCCTGGAGTTTTTTTCTTAAAGACCCTCATTCAGTCCAGGCACGGTGGATCACGCCTATAATCCCAGAGCTTTGGGAGGCCGAGGCTGGTTACCTGGCTTTGGGGTGATTGAATCCCTGCAGCACTGGGGGCTGGAGTATCCTCAAGGGCAGCCTCTCTTTCAGCCCATTAGCAGCTCATGCATTTTGCTCTTAGATGACTCAGAGGCAGGAAATCAAATCATCTCACTAAAGTCACTAAAAAACTGTCGTTAAACTAGTAAAGATGCTGTGCTTTCGATCAGAGGACAGTGCGTTTCTTCATTCACTGAACCCTGGCTGAGCCCTCCTGCTGTGGGAGGCTGCCCCTACAAGAAACGGAGCTCCTGCCCCCAGGTTCACCTGAGTAGCTGAGGGACGTGGACAGGAAACCAGGCCTGCAGAGTGGAGGGTTCTGCTGAGAGCAGAGTCATTACCACAGCCCGTCCCCAAGGAGCCCCCCATGGAGGCTGCATAAGCAAACATGGCCCATGGCAGGCAGGATGTCCTCACACAGGCTTGAAGAAGGGGCTGGGGGCTGGGATGCCTGTGCCTTTAACAGGGCGTGTAGCCCACCCCACACCTCACTCTCTTGGGTCTAGCTGCTGAGCTAACTTCCAGAATTCCAGAATCACAAACTCAACTCGGGTTGGAAACACTGCAGCGACTCAGTCACTGGTTCCATGAACTTGGGGTGGGGTCCGAGAATCTGCATTTCTCACAAGTCCCAGATAACACTGATGCTGGAATCCCAGGGACCATGCTTTGAAGACCCCTGGTCTGGAGGCGAGGTCGAGGGCCAGGAGTCTAAGCAGGCCAGAGCCAGCCTGCTGCCTATTTTTGTAAATCAAGTTTTGTTGGAACACCTCCATGCCCGTTTGTTTACAAATCCTCTCAGGCTGCTTCTGAGCTCCAAGGCCAGGGCTGAGGAGCTGCAACAGAGACTGCTTGGCTGGCAAAGCCTAAATTATTTACTATCTGGTCCTTTACAGAAAGAGTCTGTGGGCACCTGCTCTACGCCATCCTCTCTCCCAGGTTCTGGGGACACCTCGCCACTCAGCTGCCACTGCTGCTTCCCAGACCCCTGAGAAAACACAAGCAACCAAAAGTCACCTTCCCCACACAGGGACACGATCTATGTTCAAAGGCACCTTCCTTCCTGTGGCTACCCAGTGCACCGGCCCCACAGTGTCCATGGCCACGTGGCCACTCCCAGCCCCACAGCCACTCAAGGGCATCCCAAGCCCATTCCTCCTTCTTCAGGAGGCACTGCCAGCTGCACCCAATGAGTTATTATTTCTCTCATCTCCAAATAAAACAAAAAGCACAGTTGCTTTTTTTGTGTGAGACAGAGTCTCACTCTGTCGCCTAGGCTGGAATATAGTGGCGCAATCTCGGCTCACTGCAACCTCCGCCTCCTGGCTTCAAGTGATTCTCATGCCTCAGCCTCCTGAGTACCTGAGATTACAGAAGTGTACCACCACACCTGGCTAATTTTTTTATTTTTAGTAGAGACAGGGTTTCACCATGTTGGCCAGGCTGGTCTAGAACTCCTGACCTCAAGTGACCCGCCCGCCTCGGCCCCCCTAAATGCTGGGATTACAGGTGTGAGCTACCTCACTCGGCCTAAAAAGCACAATATCTTTGACCCACTTTCTTCTCCCCTGTTTCTCACCTTCCATTCACAAGAAAATTCCTCAAAATATTTCCTTCACTTGTCTGCGATTCCTCTCCTTCTTCCGGCTCATAAACCGACTCCAATCAGCCTCTGCCCTCACCACTCCGTGGGAGCTGCACTTGCCAAGGTCGCGGTCACCTATTTTTTGCTAGGTTAAGCAGTGCCCATTGTATCAGGGCGACAGAGGTGCTGCCTGCAGTTTCCCCAGCATATTAAAACATATGTCCAGAAAATGATTTATACAAGAATGTCCATGGCACTTTAATTCATAATAGGAAAAACTGGAAACATTCAAGCATCTGTCAATACAACAATGGATCAATAAACTGTAATACAGTCATTCCATGGAAAGCCTAAGGGAACGAACTGTTGACACACAAAACAACATGGAAGAATCTCAAAAACATTTTGAATGCAATAGGAGCCATACACAAAAGAGTGTAAGAAAAGAGATGAATAATCATGGTCTGAAGAAATGCAGAGCAGAGAGCCCAGAGGCAAAGACTCACAGGACAGCGGGTCGGTCCCAGGCTGTGGATCCTAATTAAGAAACTCCTGCTGGATTTTGCCCAGCTCCATTTCCAAACTATTTTGGGTCAGTGACTTCTTTATCCCTTCCTTATTCCCTCATTTTGAACTAGAATCACTGTAGTTGTTATTCCATGTCTGTCCCGTCATTTCACATTAGGGGCAGATAAGCTGTTCGTTCAGTTTCACAGGTCGACGGAGGAAAGGGAATTATGTCAAGGATCTGTACTTCATGGACACCCTCAGAAGCCTCATCCACACCTGGTGTGGATGTTTTAAATGGGATTTTAAACTTTTCATCTGATGTGGTCTATATGACATTTTTCATGTTGAACTAATGCTTTAATGACATGAGATTGGGAAACCTTAGGGGAGAGGGTGAATGCATTTTGCAATTGGGGGAATGTGAATACTGTGGTAGATGGAATTTCTGAAATGGTCCCCCAACATGCCACACCCTTGTCTCCAATGCCCGTTAAAGTGATGAGACACCATTCCTGTGATTATGTTGTTATATGCCAGTTATATGACTTTAAGCTGGTGAGGTTACCTGCATGAACTGGATCTAATCACATCGCTCCATACAAGACAACTTTCTGGGGCTGGTTGGAGAAGAAGTCAGAGATGGTAGGAGCTTGAGAAAGATGCATGAGTTATTATTGGTTGATGATGGAAAGACAGGGAAGGAGGAAAGCAGGTGGCCTCTGGAGTCAGACTGTCTCCTGGACGACAGTCAGCAAAGACAAAGGGCCCTCAGTGCCCCACAAACAAGAATAGAAACTCTTTCAATATCTGTAGTGAACTTTGAAACAAATTGCTTGAGCTCTAGAAAAAAACACAGCCAGCCCATTCCTGGATTTTAGCCTCACATGACTCTGATCAGAGAACCCGGCCACTTCATTCCAGACTTCTGTGGTTTCAAACCACTGATTTGTGGTAATGTGATCATTGGCAGCAAGAGAAAACTAGTACAGGTGTCTGTCTCTCCTCTTGAATTTCAATTTCAGATACATGGATGCTAACCCCTCTAACAGAAAAAAAATCAACCAACCAATCAATCAATGAAAAAAAATATTGCCCTCACCTTTATGTGGCTGTTCCAGAGCCCTTGCCACCTGAAGAAGACAATGAGGGATATTTCAGGCACATAAGGAGTGCGGCTTTACTGTTATCAATCACATTTCTGAAAGAATAAAAATGGCTGAGGTCAAGCCGTGGCTCATGTCTGTAATTGTAGCATTTTGGGAGGCCAAGGCAGGTGGATCACTTCAAGTCAAGAGTTAGAGACCAACCTGGCCAACATGGAGAAAGCTTGTCTCTACTTAAAACACAAAAATTAGCCAGGCATGGTGGCAGGTGCCTATTATTCCAGCTACTCAGGAGGCTGAGGCAGGAGAATCACTTGAACCTAGGAGGTGGAGGTTGCAGTGAGCTGAGATCACGCCATTGCATTCCAGCCCAAGGAATAGAGCAAAAACTCCACCTCAAAAACAAGTAAATTAATTAATAAAGATGGTTCATTACTTAACTCCACATATTATTATGTGAAAATGTATCATCTCGATTTTAATAGCAGATTTTTAAAAATTGCTTTTCTTTTGCTCACCAGACAAGGTCTGGTAGCAAATACCGCTCACCAACACAGATGAACCAATTCAAGGAGAGCCATAAACAGGACTACTGTTATGTTTCCCAAAAAAACCATCCCTAGAATGCAATCTCTTCTCTACTTGTCACAAAATGAACACAATAGTCCACTATATAAAGTCCCAAACACATGAAAATGTAAATACAATGAAGTCTGCTTTCCAAATATTCATTCTATTCAGACCCAGTCATGGGGACCAGGGATTAGCAAATGACTACAAAGAGGTTCAAGGGAATTTGGGGAAGCGACAAAATGTGCTGAAGTAGAAATTCTGCCGATGGCTGCACAATTCCATAAATCAGCTGAAATCATTGAGACGTATGTTGACAACGGGTGACTTTTATAACAAGTCATTCTTTAAACGAACTTTTGGGTTTCTAGTCCAACATGGAAAGAGCTAGGCAGTCATCACTCGTCCTCACAGCTAGCGAAAGGTTGAAGGAACTAAAAGTCAACCCTTCTAGGGTGGACCAGAGAATTGAAGTCACAGGGAAAACTGCCACCCTAAAAATGAGAAAGACAGGCAAACACACAAGGAGTCAGAGCTCACAGGAAGAGAAGTTACTGGGGACAGCAAGTGGGAGAAGAACTTAAATGGTATTGACAGATCACTAGAAGCTGAGGGTGGCCTGGTTAGTGCATTAAAAACTCCTTGAGAACCAGACTAAGGGGGAATCTCACATATTTCCAAGTTTTACTACAATGATCTCAACCAGGTTCTCAAGATGAAGTTCTGAAAACCCCCCTGAGGTTTGGCACTACCAACTTCAGGACTTACATTAAGCTACAGTAACCTAAATAGTGTGAGCTGGTGAAAAGGGAAAACACACACACAAATAGATCCATGGAAAAGAATACAGAGCCCAGAAACAGGCCTACCTACAGTCCATTGATCTTCCATGAAGGTTTAGAGACAACTTAAAGCAGGGAAGTTACCCTTTCCAACTAGTGGTGCTACAACAGCTGGATAACCACATGCAAAAAATATATAAATAAATCCCGGTGTGCATGTTATACACTTTATAAAATAAATCTCATCACAAGTAAATGTAAGGTGCAAAACCATAAGAATCCTAGGAGATAACATCGGAGAAAGTCTCGGGGATCTTGGGTTCGATGATGGCTTCTTAGATACAAAACCAAAAGCACAATCTACTAATGAAAAAAAATTAAGTGGAGCCTCGTTCAAATTAAAAACTTCTGCTCTGTGAAAGACACTGTTAAGAGAATGGAAAAAGCAAGTCACAGACTGGCAGAAAATATTTACAAAATAATCTGATGGAAAAACTGCTGTCCAAAATATATGAAGAATTCTGAGAACTAAACAACACAAAGGAAGAAAAAAAAAGAAAAAAAAAAGAAAAAAGAAAAAAAGTAGGTGAAAGATCTGTACACCTCATTAATAAGATATACAGATGGCAAATAAGTATATGAAAAAGATGCTCAAAATCATTTGGCGTTAGGGAATTGCACACTAAAACAATAATGAGATATCAGTGGAAACCTATTAGAATGGCTAAAATGCAAAAAGGTAAACACACCAAATGCTCTCAAAGATGAGGAGCAACCAGAACTCTCTATAGCTAGTAGAAATGAAAAGGGTACAGTCACTCTGGAAAACTTAAGTTCACTCAGAATCCTGCACATAAGTAGTTACAGCAATTTTATTCATAATTGCCAAAACTTGGAAGTACGCAAGACGTCTTTCACCAAGTGAATGGATAAGCAAACTGTGTTGTAGCCCCACAACGAAATCTGATTCAGTGATTCTAAAAAGCAAGCTATCAAGTCATAAAAAGACATGCAGGAACTTAAAATACATAATGCTAGAAAGAAGTTAGTCTGGAAACCTACATACTGTACGATTCCAACTCTAGGACATTCTTGGAAAGTCAAAAAGAGAGAAGTAGTAAAATGATGAGTGGTTGTCAGGACTGGAAGAGAGGAGGACGCACAAAATGGTGAAGCACAGGGAATTTTCAGCAGTGAAACTATTTTGCATGACGCTGTATTGGGGATTTAGGACACTATGTAATTGCCAAAACCCATAATCTGTGAAACTCAAAGAATGAACTCTTGTGTAAACTATAGCCTTTAGTTGATAATGATGTATCAATAGTGGTTCATCAATTGGAAAGAATGGACCACATTAATACAACATACTTATAGGGGAAATTGTGTGCTGGAGGACAGGGGAGCCTAGGAGAACTCTCTGTACTATCCACTCCATTTTTCTGCGAACCTACAACTATTCTAAAAAATGATGTCTATTGGCTGGGTGCGGTGGCTCAAGCCTGTAATCCCAGCACTTTGGGAGGCCCAGGTGGGTGGATCACGAGGTCAGGAGATCGAGACCATCCTGGCTAACACGGTGAAATGCCGTCTCTACTAAAAAATACAAAAAAACCAGCCAGGCGAGGTGGCGGACGCCTGTAGTCCCAGCTACTCGGGATGCTGAGACAGGAGAATGGCCTAAACCCGTGACGCGGAGCTTGCAGTGAGCCGAGATCCGGCCACTGCACTCCAGCCTGGGCAACAGAGCGAAACTCTGTCTCAAAAAAATAATAATAATAATAATGTCTATTAATTTTTTTAAATTAGGTTGCAGCAGCCCCATATCACGGTTTTGGTGGCATCCTGTTAGTTAGTACCTGTGTGGTTAGTACTTGGCATTGAAGTGCACCAACCTGGAGTCAGAGCAGTTGGAGATTTCCAGGCCTGTGCCATTTACCTCGAATCCTGGGGTGCCCCGGAAAACAGCAGGTCAGTTAGGGAGAAGCAGCATCAGCAATCTAGACAGTGCAGGTTTGTGGTAAGGACAGGTACAAACCATCTGGGTGGGCAGACCTTGGTGAAGACTAGAAAACACTGAGACTCAGCAGCTGCCCCAGTGGAACCCACAAATCAAAGGAGGCGCTGCGAGGAGCTAAGGGCCACTGGATGAGCTCCCTGCCTGCAACACAGAAGCAGCTCCAGAGATTCTGGTAAATAATGTGCGTTTCAATTCAGTGTGATCGACTCAAAACAGTAGGGAGAACAAAAAGGAAAAAAAAGGAGAGAGCATGAGAGAGAAAGAAAAAGAAAAGAAAAAAGGAAGAAAGGAAAGGGAGGGAGGGAGAAAGGAAGGGATGGAGGGAGGGAGGGTGGGAGGGAAAGAATAAAGAGAGAGAAAGAGAGTTGGAGGGACGTAGGGAGGGAAGGAAGGAAGGGAGGAAGGGAGGAATGGAGGGAGGGAGGGAGGGAGGAAGAAAGGGAGGGAGGGAGGGAACAAATATACATGAAGAGGAGAACATCGGGGGAACTTACACCACCAATATTTTCCATTAACAGGAACACGCTAACTAGTGATTAGAGAAAGACGCACTACTGTAAAATCATATACTGTTTCCATGGGATACAACCCCTTCCTCCTCCTCTGAAACACATTCTGTCTCTCGCCCACTGTTGCCAGAGACTCCAGAATCTACCTGGCTGTATGTGGGGGCCTCAGTCCCTGGGTCTGATGTCATCCATTTGCCTTTCTCACTGGACTTCTCTCCTTGCACTTGCTCCCACTCCCCCAGGACCTGGTGGGCGGCCACGTGAGAAGGACACAAACAAATCATGCCCCTTTCTTTCTCCCCTTCTCAATGCCTGCAGTAGTGGGTTCCGTGGGGTAGTGGCCTGAGATTTATTCATTATGGGGCCTCTAGCCCAGAGCAGGGCCTGCTACCTAATACTCACCCCATGAAAGCTCAGGGAAAAAAGGCATCCACCACAAGGTCCTGGGGAACCAAGAATTCCACTGTGGCCCATAAATTCTAAGTCCTACAGGATTCTGGAATGGGAGATGGGACAGGCCTTCAAAAGTGGCCACTCTTTTAACCCATTATACTGTCAACTGAGCCATGTTTCCCCATCCTGGACACATCTAGAGGGCACCGCCTAAAACCAGACACATCTCCCCATCCAGGAGAGAGTAGGGGCCTGAGCCTGGGGGATGCAGGGGGACAGGGAGGGGATGAGCCAAGAAAGCTGAAGAGGAGAAAGCAGGTGTAAGGGGACAGCAGGGTGGAAACAGAGAGAAAAGGGGGCAGACAATGGGGGGTGAGAGGGGAAGAGTGAGGAGGGGGATGCAGATCTAGCTACTGAGGAAAAGCCCTGGAGAGAACACTGTCCTCTCCTGAAGTAAAATCACTTCCACCTGACCACGGCACGGCAGGTCGTGGGCAGCACACGCTGGGAATATTTGTTCATTCATTTAACAAATACTTATTTCATATCTGTTTCATGCCAGGCAAGGCCCTGCGATCTTTAGGGACCTTGGCATCTTCCCTTCACATCTGAGTCACAATAGAAAGAGGACTCTCTGACCCTATCGAGCGGGCAATGCCTCGGGATTTTTACCTGTTGGATCCGGCAGCTCTTCATGTCAGCCCACACCGTGTGAGGCTGCTCTTGGTGCACCGAATGGGGATGTTTCTGCATCAGTGCCTCGGAGAGTCCACCAGAAGCCCTGGACAGTGGGAGTCGGTGGCACCCCAGCGTGGAGGCCAAGAGCACACAACACTGAAGCTCCAGACACCCTCAGGAAGACAGGAAGGGACAATCGGCTGGTGAGAGCCTGGATCACCAGGAACTTTCGCCTGGGTCGAAACAGGATTTGCCTTCAGATTGCCTGTGAGATAAAAGAGAGAAATCAAGGTTAACATTGAGATTTGGGGCTTCGGCAACTTGAAGGATGGAGCTGCCATTTACGGAGACTGGGAAGACCCAGGAAAGAGCAGCTTGAAAGGTGGTGGGGAACTAGAGTTGGTTGGGTTTCTGTCATATGTAATCAACAGTCCTGACCAGACTGGGCAACATAGTAAGACCCCGTCTCTGGAAATGAAAACTGAAAAATTAGACCAGCATGGTGGTGCACACTTGGAGTCTCAGCTACTCGGGAGGCTGAGGCAGGAGGATTCCTTCAGCCTTCAGTTAGAGGTTAGTGAGCTATGATGGCACCACTGCACTCCAGCCTGGGGGGAAAAAAATAAAGAGTCCTGACTAAATACTTGAGTAGCCAGGGAAGTTTTCACAAAGTAAGTAATATTTCAGGCACATCTTAGTGAATGAGAATTCGATTATTTCTGTTAGGGAATTAAGAGAGTGTGGGTGTAGTTAGTTAATGCTTACTGAACTATCTTTGGAATCTCATCTATTGCTCTATCTGGTCTATCTGTACACATATATTCTATATGCTGTCTCGCTGAGCTTTCGCTAGGTTACGCTACAGTAACAAAAGCCCCAAAATCTTAGCGGCTCCACATACAAAGGTTTATTTTTCATTGACATTTCCTCTTATGGCAGGTTGACTGTGACTCTGCTCTATACAAGCTATTTTATTTGTTAGATGGTGAAAACTGTGATACTTGGAGATTGCTGAATATGGTATTAGTATGTTCATTCATTCATTCATTTAACAAATATTGATTCAATATCTCTTTCATGCCAGGCAAGGTCAAGTATTGAGAATACAGTGGTGAATAAAAGAGACAAAATCTCTAATTTCCAGGAGCTAATATTGAAAATAACATTAAACACAATCATCATAATAACAACAATGAATATTCATAAATAACAGCTGTAAGACATTTTAGTAAATCTTTTAAATTAGAAAAATATAAAAATTATTACAACAAAAAAGGCCACATGTGATGGCTGATGCCTGTAATCCCAACACTTCGGGATGCCAAGGTGGGAGGACCATTTGAGCCCAGGAATTGGTAACCAGTCGGGGCGCTACAGGAAAACCCTGTCTACAAAGAAATAGAAAATTAGCCGGGCATAGTGGTGCATTCCTGTAGACCCAGCCACTAAGGAGGCTGAGGTGGGAGGACTGCTTCAGCCTGAGAGGTCAAGGCTGTAGACAGCCAGGATCATAACACTGCACTCCAGCCCGGGTGACAGAGCGATACACTGTCTCACGAAAAAAAAAATACATATATTCGATGTGTCCTCAAACTATTATGTAGAATACTATTATTTACATCACATCACGTGACCCCTTTCAATGGCTGAACACTTATTTCGGTGCAATCCATACAGCGTTCCTGGGAACTAAGTACACCTAAGAACAATTCAGTATGAAAGAGTTACTGCCTTGACAGGAAGATGCAAAAATTTTTAAAAGACATATAAATAAATAAAAGAGTGAAAACTGTAGCTCCGTGAGTCTCAAATTATATCTCATTCAACTCACAATGAACATCTAGCAATCATTCTGAACACCATATAATTCACTTAATACATTTTGCCCGAACGCCCAACACATCTGAAGGACCAAAACCCGTATGTAGCCAAGAAACAGACAATCATTTTTATATTATCACCTATGACTTCATCAGCTCTACGCACTTATTTTTTAAATGTTATTCATTTATTTACTCTTTTTATTTTTTGTAGAGATGGGATCTCACTGTTACCCAGATTGATCCAGAAACAGAAACAGACCCACACTAATTTCAGAAATCAGATGACAATACAGTCATTCGATTTATGAAAAAAAGTGCCACACGGTGCAGAAGGAAAAGGATGGTCTTTTCAATAAATGCTGCTGGATCAAGCAGACACATCCATGTAGTAAACAGTGATCATAGCCAAGTGGGGTGGCTCACACCTGTAACCCCAGCATTCTGGGAGGCTGAAGTGGGCAGACTACTTGAGCCCAAGATTTCAAACGAACCTGGGAAACATGTTGAACCCCATCTCTACAAAAAGTACGAAAATTAGCCAGGCATGGTGGCACACGCCTACAGTCGCAGCTACTCAGGAGGCTGAGGTGGGAGGATCGCTTGAGCCAGGAAGTGGAGGTTGCAGTGAGCTGACATGCTGCCACCACACTCTAGCCTGGGCAATAGAGTGAGGCCCTGTCTGGGGAAAAAAAAAAAAAAAAAACTAAAATAAAATTGTTATAAGGTTAACACACAAAAATGTGTTCATACTCTTAGGTTAGGCATTGATTTCTTAAACAGGACACAAAAAGTAGTAACCATCAAGGAAAAGATTGATAAAGTATAATTTCATTAAAATTAAGAATCTCAGGCCGGGTGCAGTGGCTCATGCCTATAATCCCAACACTTTGGGAGGCCGAGGCAGGTGTATCGCTTGAGCCTAGGAATTCCAGACCAGCCTATGCAACGTGGCAAAACCCCATCTCTACTAAAAATATAGAAAAGAGCTGAGTGTGCTGGTACTCCCCTGGAGGTCTCAGCTACTTCCGGGCTGAGGCAGGAACATCACCTAAGCCTTGGGAGGTCAAGGTTGCAGTGAGCTGTGATTGTGCCACTGTACTCCAGCCTGGGCAACAGAGTGAGAGCCTGTCTCAAAAACAAACAAAAAAAGAGAATCTCCATTCATGAAAAAACACCACTAAAAAAGTAAAAAGGCAAGCTACAGATTGAAAAAAGGGAAACGCAATACATATATATCCTAGAAAGGATGTATATCCAGAATAAAGTATTACAAATCAACAGAAAAATAAGCATATCAGTGAAAACCGGATAAAAAGATTTAACAGGCCCTTCACAAAACAGGACATATAAATGCCAATAGAAGATACTCAGTCTCAATGAAACCACACTGATATGTTACTGCATCCCTACAAGAATGGCAAAATCATTTGTAACTGCCAGGCATCAGCAAGGACGTGGGGTAACAAGAATATCCCTGTTAAATGGTTCAACCATTATGGGAAAATGTTCAACAATATGTAACACTCAAGTTTTATCATTCATATACATCTGAAATCAACAATGCCACTCCTACAAATAGACCCCAGTCTAGTCATGCTCTATTTCTTCATCTGTGGTGGCTCACTTGGTAAAAATTCATTCCCTTTTGGATTTTTGGTTTCTTTTTGTTTTTGTTTTTGAGACAGGGTCTCACTCTGCATTCCAGGTCGGAATGCAATGCCATGATCATGGCTCACTGCAATCTCAGCCTCCCGGGCTCTGGTGATCCTCCCACCTCAGCCTACCGGGTAGCTGGGACTACAGGCACACACCACCACACACAGCTAACTTTGGTATTTTTAGTAGAGACAGGGTTTTGCCACATTGCCCAGGCTGGTCTGGAAATCCTGGACTCAAGTGATCTACCCACCCTGGCGTCCCAAAGTGCTGGGATTACAGGTGTGCTCTTCTGCGCCCGGACCACCTGCACTTTTAAAATAGTCAACTTCTTCTGTATACTTCAGTACCTTTTCAAAGATTTCTTTGACACAAAGTTCTCAGAAATCTTAAAGCTAGCATTTCAGCATAGAGAAAAATAGCTTCCGGTTCACTGGTGAAGTTTTACTAATAAAATTTAAAAACAAAAAGAAAGGATGAACAACACTGTAACCCAAAGAAAAGATACCACTTGAGAAAAGACTTCTTTTCCAAAGCAGCTCCAGCAGCAACAGACAGGAGGAAAGCGAGGAAACCAGGCCAAACGTCCTGGTTAACTCTTCAGTGAAAGGACGCCAAATGAGATGATCTAAGAAGCCAGAAAGACAGACAGACAGACAGACAGACAGACACAGGGAAATCACAGCAACTCTTTGCAGTGCAAACACCAACCCCACAGTCCATCCTACTGGAAATTCTGCGGTTAATTTGAGGCTTGCCCCGCTAGTCATGAGGTGATTCGGTGATGGCCACAAACGCTCCTCATGTGCATCCTGGACCTGGCACACCTGGCTTGCCCATCGCCAGCCTGGAGGCACCGCCAGGAGCAGAATCCCGGAGGCCAATAAAGACTCCAACTTTGCAAGCAGAGGGAACCCATTCTGGCCTCGAAGGTGGGGTCCGGGGTCAGTGTCCTCTACAGGATATAGGAGGACGTGCCCCCGAAGCTGCTCCGTCCCTCCAGCGCCTGCCATGCCACAGAACACCCGCCAGCGACTTTCTTCCCCAGCGCGCACCAGAGGTGGGCTGCGGGCGGCAGCAGCAGGGGAACAATCGAGCTCAGGGAACTCAGGCCCCGGCCGTGCACCCCCCACACCCACCACCCCTCGCGCAACAAAACTTGCCACCGCCAAGCCTCAACCCAGCTGTGCGCCCGCGAGTCCCGGATTCACCGCCCGCCCAGCCGGGGCGTCCTCACCTCGGAAAGGCTGGGTGGACTTCGCGGTAACTTCCCATCCAGAGAGCAGCCGGTAGCCGCGCCGCCCCGCCTCGGCCCCACTCCTAGAGCAGCAGGTCGCCAGTCCCGCGTTCGAAAAGCGCCATGCTCACTCAGAAGCTCAGGCAGCCTCGCGACCCTCACCTACCCCTCCCAGTACCGCCGCGGTCTCAACCGCCAGCCAGCCCCGCGCCCGCGCCCCCGCCGGCCCACGACTGGCTCCTCAGAATCGCGTCAGAACCCAAGGCGCAGGCGCGGCGGGGTCTTAAAGGGACCGGGCCGCTTCTACTGCATAACGGTTCCAGCAGCTTAGGGGCCTCGCGGGCCGAGAAAAGGAGTAACGGAGGGGTTGGACCCAGTGCAGCGGGGATGGGGAAATCCCTCTCTCCTCTCCGCCTCTCTTTCAAAGCACCAGCCCTCCACTCTGCAAATCGCTGATTTTCCCGGCCACTTGAACCGCCCCTGCCAGGTTAAAGAGGCAGGAGACACACCCCCTCGGGGCCCCAAGGGACCCCGCGCTTAGCACTGCAGGCCTCGCGCTGCCGCCCCGCCCCGGAGTCTGACTTCCAGGCCCGGGCACGCGGTGCAGACGCCCAGGCTTCAGAAGGCAGCCCCCAGCTCCCCCGACAGGTTGCCTTAGGTCACTCGCAAAAAGAATAACCAACGTGTCAATGGCACTTGTAGTTATTTTCCAATTTAAATTTATAACAGATTCTGCAGATGGGCTTCCACTGAAATAAGCCTTTGAGAAAAAGAAAAACCTTTTTTTAAAACAAGAATTGGAAATACCAGGAAATAGTAAATAAAGCCATGCCGTCCACCCAACTAAACTTTGAAAATTTGGTGTTTTATCTAAGGCAAATGTTTCCATAACTTTAGGTCATGCCATTATTTAAAATCAATTTCAATTAACAATTTCATTGCAACTGAATCTATCGTGTATAAGCAAACAAAGATACATCCCTGATAATCTACCTCTCCCCTCCTATATTCCATCCATCAGCAAGTCCTACTGGTTTTTACTTTCCAAATTTTCCTTGAATGTGTCCTCTTCTGTCTCTTCTATCAGCACCCTAGTCTAGGCTACCTTCACCTGGGGAGTGGGGGTGGAGGGACTACTGACCTAGTCTTCTTGTGGTTTACCCATATCCCCTTTATGGCCTCTCTAATCTCGACACAACTGGCAGAGTGGTTTTTCAAAATATAATGTGACCCTGTCACTTCCCAGCCTAAACCACTTAAACGCCTTCCCATTCTCTTAGACGAAACCTCCTAGCTAACCAAGCCTTGAATGGCCTTTTCTAAAGGAGGAACAATATTTCTTGACACATGAAAATGACAGAAAATTCACATTCCAGTGTCCCTAAGCAAAGTGTGACTGGAACCCACACCCCTCTGTTCATGCGCTGTTTCGGGCTGCTTTCTCACTACCCCAGCAGAGCCAAGTAGCTGCAACAGAGACTGTGTGGCCGGTAAAGCCGGAAATATTTACCATTTGGGCTCTTTACAAAAAACAATTTGCCAACCTCTGACCTACTTCATGAAATCTGTACCTTTTGTTGTTCACAGATTCCTTTGAGAACTGGACGAGGACACCAGCTCCTCTCCTTGGAGAAATATGAGCCTGAGCGTGCACACAAATGCACGCAGACTTTTGCACAGATTCAGGGATTCAAGGACTGCTCAAAGCCCATCCATTCACACGAAGGTTAGGTGAGAGGGCGAGTCAGAGTTGAAGGCCCTGGTTTTACATAGGGGGAAACGTGATTCCAGAAAGGGGGAGCTACTGGCCCTAGGACACACAGCAAGCCCCAGGACAAGGGGTGGCACAGGGAGAGTACCTGATGCTGGAGCTCCTGCAGCTGCTGCCGAGCCTCCAGCCATGAGCGCTCCAGCTCCTGCAGCCCAGTTCGCAGCTCCCTGGCCTCCTTGCCCATGGCTGTCCATGCCTCCTCTAGGAGTGCCAGCTTCTGCTCCTTTTCCTCACTGGCAAGCTTCAGGCTGGAGAGGGCAGAGGTCAGCCCTGGGTCCTGGGAGTAGTCAGTGGCTCTACACAAAAGCTGCCTCCTCCAGTAGAGGGTCAGGCACTGCCTGCCTGTGCAGCCTCTCCCAAGAACTGAGCCCTCCGGGGCTGGGGCCCAGGCTCTCGGCTGGGAGGGGTAGACCAGTGACTCCAGGAGGGGACCTGGTTTCCAGGGTGATGAGGTGGGTGGGTCTGAGTCTGGACCCAACCCTGCCCACTACCCCTCTGCCCCTTTCCCCAATCAACAGGGAGGAAACCTTCCTAAAATGAGCCAGTTGCCAGGCTCTGCTTAGGAGACAGAGGATCCGTATCTGGGCAATTTCGCCAGAACCTTGGGGTTGAAGTTAGATTTCAGGGATGGGATTCCATGAGGACTCAGGGCTGGTCCCCCACGACACCCACCTGATGTGCTCACTCTGCCTTTTTCACAGCGGCCCGAAGTTTCTCCTTGGAGCTCCACAGGGCCTCGCTCTCCTTGGCGCCGTCGCCCAGACTGCCCTGCAGCTTGCCTGACTCCTGGCGCTGCACCTCCCGCCCTCCTGGCTCTCATGCAGCTCTATGCGGATGGTCCCAGCTCAATCTCAATACCTTCCACTATCCTGTCCCTATTTCTATGGGTGGGGAAATGAAGGCACAGACACCTGGGGTAGCATCACCAGTAAGTGACCAAGATTAGATTCTAACCCAGGAAATATAACCCCAGAGTCAGTGTTCTAGTAACGCACGCGCACAACGAGTAATTGTGTGTGGCTCTGCTTCCACCAGCCCCAACCCCGAAACACCAGAGAGCTGAGTGTTATTAGATTGATGGGGAGTTTGTTGGAGTTTTACATATGTGCCCAAGTGGTTTGATGGCAGCATAAATTTAATAACATCAATCAATACGTGTGAGATATATGTTGACTCGGTCCATAAAGACAAAACTGCTAGAAGCAAGGCAATGTGGGGAGGGGATTACAGTTTACAGGTGGATTCAAAGATTTTCTAGTTGGCAATTGATTCAAAGACTCAAGTTTTTTATCTAAAGACTTGAAATCAGCATAACAAAGTGTCTGAGTTAAGATAATGGGTTTTGGAGAACAAGATTCAAACTACTGAAGAAGTCTCTTTTTGTTTTTTTTTTTCTTTTTAGACTGAGTCTCTCTCTGTCACCCAGGCTGGAGTGCAGTGGTGCGATCTCGGCTCACTGAAACCCCCCTCCTGTGTTCATGTCATTCTCCTGCCTCAGCCTCCCGAATAGCTGGGACTATAGGCGCCCGCACCACACCCGACTAATTTTGTGTATTTTTAGTAGAGACGGGGTTTCACCATGTAGCCAGGATGGTCTGGATCTCCTGACCTCGTGATCGGCCTGCCTCGGCCTCCCAAAGTGCTAGGACTACAGGCGTGAGCCACCGTGCCTGGCCCCTGAAGAAGTTGCTTATGTGGCCACCCTTAGAGAAAACAGATGGCAAATATTTTCTGTTAAGACCTTTAAAAGATGCTAGACTCTCAGCTAATCCCCTCAGTATAACAAAAGGCCTGGAAAGGGAAGAGACTCTCTGCAAATGTAAATTTCTCTCACAAAAGATAACTGTGCAGGGCAATTTGAAAATATGTCAAAGAAATATATTTTAGGGTAAAAGCCTTTGATTCATTTCAAGGCCGGCTCTCTGTCATGTGATGCTATTCTTGAGTCAGGTTGGAATTTGGTATCTTACTTCTACGAAGAATCTGTTTCCTGAGGCTTGATTCTCTGTTTTCACGAAAATGCTGGCTAGTTGTGCTTGAATTCCAAAGGGAGGAGAGTATAATGAGGCATTTCTGATCCCTCTATTTCTAACATGACTGAGCTAGTTTTTCAAGTGTCTCTGGAGCCACTTAGTGAAGAGAAAGGGTCCATCCAGTCAGTTGGGGCGCTTAGAATTCTGCCTTCGCTTCGTAGGACATATACGAGACTTCTCCTAGCCAGGGGTATCAGAAAACTATTTACTGAGGCAATCACATTGAAGTTGAGACTTGAAAGATGGTCTCAGATTCCTCCCTGCAAACCTTTTATCCTGACAGGAGAAGAAGAAAACTTACCAGAAAGCAAAGCAATGATCTCTCTGAAATTGCCCATCTGGGAAACACCAGGACACTGGCCTCTCCTTCCTTCTCCCATCCTGGGATTTAAGGAGTTACAGCCCCCCACCTCTGCCCAGGAAGCCAAGGCAGCAGCTTGGAGCTGGAGCCAGAGCCAGAGCCACCCATCCATGGGGAGCTGGGCCTCCTCTGCGCCCCCCGCCATGCTGAGTCAGGCTTTGAAACACGGTCATCATTGGGAAGTGGTTCTTGTTGTGGCCCCATCCCCCTGTGTTATTTTCCTACTCGGCTCACTTATAATTTCAATCTGGCTCTGAGAGGGACTCAGCATTTCCTTTATCCCCATTTACTGTGGATGCTCGGAAAGGAGTGGGAGAAGCTGGGCGCCGCCAGTGTGTGTGCCTCACGTTTCCTTACCCCTGAGGGAGGGGCTGGCCAGGAGAACTGGGACCTCCTCCCTGTTCCTGCACCTGCTCCTCCCTGGTCCCTCACTGATGAGCACCCAGATGCAGAGGCTCCTTCTCTCCTGACACTGCAGCCAGGTAGAGGCAGCTGCAGCCACAGCCCTGGAAGGGGTGGGAGACGCTGAGGCAGGTGCAGGGGCAGGGTCTGGCTCCCCTCAGTTCAGTGTGGCCTGCAGGAGCTGCCTGGAACTGTCTGGTTTGACATGGCTCCCCCAAGGGAGCTGATGAGTGTGGGGGCCAGGAGCACTGCCTCATCAGGCATCCCCTCACCTGCACCAATGAGGAGGAGATCCTGGAGCTGGGGCATTAAGATCCACAGATTGTTTTCTCCATGTTGCGAAGGGCAGGGCTTGGATTTCACGAGGCAGGTGGCGAGCCAAGTCGGGTTCCACTGCGCTGTGTCCTCCATGGCAGAAAGGACCTGCCCCCCATCACCCCGACAGTGGCTTGCCTGCCCCGAGAGCAGCCAGCTCCCAGGACAGGCTTCCCGTGTTCCTTTGTTCATCCTCTTTAAGAATCACTCAGAGCCAAACACCGTGGCTCACACCTGTAATCCCAGCACTTTGGAGGCCGAGGCGGATGGATCACCTGAGGTCAGGAGTTCGAGACCCGCCTGGCCAAGGCAGGGAAACCCCGTCTCTACTGAAAATACAAAAATTACCCAGGCATGATGGTGTGTGCCTGTAATCCCAGCTAGTTGGGAAGCTGAGGCAGGAGGATTGCTTGAACTCAGGTGGCATGGTGGAAGTTGAAATGAGCTGAGATTGCACCACTGCACTCCTA